CACTGCGCCTATCCAACCCTCATACCCCACCTTCGATTCTTTTTATATCGCGTGCCTCTTCGTTTTGTACGCCGTCTCACCTCTGATCGACTCGTAACGATGCTCCCACACCAAACCGCGTCCAGGACAATTCCACAAGTCTTTGACAGATTCATGGAATTTAGGAATATCGATGGAATATCTACACAGCTTGGCGCAATGATTCTTTGAAATCAAACAATATCAAAGCAATCATTGCAGAAACAGGCATAGGTTTAGTACTGTTCAACTATTGTATTGTTTAAGTAGTAGAATAAATTAATATTTATTATTAATATGACGGGTACAGTTCCCCTTTCTTTTTTCGCGCGCAATGGTATTCTCTATGCCTTCGCTACTACAAAGCGAACAGCGATATCTAATTGTTTCGTAAAAACTGGCATCATATCATATAAACACTGAAAAAATCGAAGAAACAATTGCTATGGACGAAAAATACTTTTGATACATTGTATGTTACAATAGGGTGTCACGGTGTCACATACGGAAGATACGGTGAACGGCTGATCTACTGCTCCAACGTGAATCCCGTCAAAAACGTTCTTTCATAAAGAATTATGATACGGCGATAAATTGTCATACTGTAAATGAATACAATGAACGTTGTTTGATTTATACAAAGAGTTTTTTTACTTGGTAACAATGGAGTCCTTGCAGGTACACACTCCTGTATCTTCCTGTAGTATAGTAGAAGCGTCGCGTTTCCTCTCGCGTTATCCTCCTTTCATCTTCCTCTGCTCGACGTATATCTTCCATGCAATTCAAGATGCAGAGATCTATTTACAACCGTAATACCACAATTTGTATGCATTATAAATACAAAGTGATACCAAGTTCTCTGTTCCATGCTAAATTCCTTTCCCCCATATTCGTTCTACGAAATGCTAAAAAATAGAGATTATCCGCGTAATAAATTGCGAGATTTAATTATAATTATCGTGGCCCCGCGAGAGCTAATTTTTCTAGTTATTTTAATGGTCCCGTTTCGTTGGAGCTCGTACTGAACTTCCGTATTATAAAGTTTAAACTTCTGGCTGACAAGTTCCGGCTACGAACTTCTCATCTTATTAATAATTTCACTATAGGAGGACCGGGGACCCTGATAGCCTTATAGATTCTGTTCCCGATTCATTATAAATATATGTTAATAGTTAATGTAATCATACTCTTGGCTTGCTAATGTGTACTTCTTATTTACTCTTCACGTTATTGCTAAGTTTTCTCAAGCAGTGTTTGCATGCATAATGAAACTTGTAAAAGCAGAACGATCTTTTTTATATATTTCCTTCGACTTGTAAATTTTATTAAATATCAAAATGATCTCATTTTATTTTCATTTCTGAGCTTAGTAATTTCGAAGATACATCTGATACACAATTAATGAGCTACTGTTGTAATTAATGTTAAATAGAAAAATTTCCATCTATGAAATGTTGAGTTATTTTCAGAAGATTCGTGAGTTCGATGGTATTATTGTGTTTATTCCACGGTACGGTTCCACGGTGCTGGGATAGGACGCGCGGCATACAAACGACGTTGAATCGCCGTTTAAACAGACGTCGCACGTATCCGCGTCACGGCGCAAAGTCCGACCGTAATTCGAATTAATAGAAACGCCGCGCCACCGCGCCGGGTGCCTTGAAGCACCCATCGCTTCGCCCCGGCGGCACCCCGGCTCGAAAAACGCGTTCGCGCCAACCGTTCATGATTCCAGACCGAATATCTCAGGCAATATGCAAATATGCAGATATTTTCATATTTCATTTGCCACAATTTAATATTAGTAGCCATGTACGATTTCTAGTCTATGTATTAATGTCTATTTTATCTAATATATGTTTTTATGGTATTCCTTGCAATGGCAATTTCGTGATTTGTCTGTCATTTAACTAATTACCTATAGCGACATTTTTAAAAAGTATTATCGTTAGATCACAGTAAATTAACGAGACCCAGTATCGGACTTTTCACGCACTTCTAGTTTCTAGAAACAGTCCTCAAAGTTGAAAAACCGCAAGAACTTACATCATCGCGAAACAGACCCATGGATTTATATGTAGAACTCAGTTGAGAGTAGGTGTCGTGATTTTGGCGAATGTCCAACGAGATGGGACTACTTCTGGTTGCTCGGGCGAAGGGCGACGACAGGGCGAACGTGGTGTCCCCGATGATTTGACAGAAAGACAAAAGGAACAACTGGAAAATGTCGCGGAGTGCTACTTCTATCACCGAAGACCCTTTCTACTTGAAGGTCCCCCGAGACTTTGAACTCCGTACAACGCGTGATCGAACACCTTCCCTTGCTTTTCCTGTTACATTCCATTCACTGGTAACCAGTGAAATGACTATTCTTTATACCTTAATAAATGCAATCATTAGGAATACGCCGTAGTGCACCTGGCGATTTTGGTCACTAGTAAAGATTGTCGTAAAATCAGCAGCGGTGTTAAAAAGGTGTCGATTTCAACTACCTGAATTTTACGACCTCCCTATAGTTATATCCATTTCTCTAGCTATACCTACTATAACAGCTACACCATAAATCCTTGTGGGGCAAGGAAAGTTCTACCTGCGGGCCGTTTATAGCTAATAAAGGCAAATACCTGCCACGTTGCTTATGCGAAATCCATAAAATATTAATACACATTAACCGTCGAAGTGATACTGACACCAGGGACAACAATGCCATCCCCTGCTACTACTCCGTCATGGTAGATGGGACGAAACGGTGTCGCCAGTAAGTACCTGACTAACGATTTTAATACTCCATATGCAGGGGAGTTCCTAAACGACGCTGGGGACGTCGTAACCGCCGAGGTAAGGGTTGGATTTAATGACTCGCCAGATTCCTTCACCTCGTTTCATTCATTTTAATAAAGTCTTGAATATGACTACTCCAGTCGAACTGACGCGGTATTGGCAAGACCAGAACACCGTTCATTTTTCTGATAAATAAGGAGTTTCAGTGTCATGAACTATGCTTGAACACAGATTTTAAGTAGACAATCCCAGGATTACTAATTTGATCAAGGATCATGATATAAGAATGACAACATTTATTTACAATATATAATTTAAGACACAGACGTTCTTATTTTATATTGCACTTGCAACAGCACTTGCAACAGCTGAAGGTAGAATTTTCTAAACCGAATCAAATCTTTTTCTCCATTCCTCCAAGGATTAAACTTTGGAACCGATACCAACCAAGCTCTCCTTCATACAAAACCATCGTCACATGAATGAGGATTGGACCATTCAACATTTGTTTAATATTTTTTTATATTAGTTGTAGCAAAGATAACCGAGAGATGAACAGTACTGGAAAGCGTAGAGAAATGGGAAGTGGGAACAATTTCGTGGTCCGTTATCAGTGTCAGCACGTTATTTTAGTGAATACCGTTCCACGTTAAACCGGTCATAAATGCGCTCGGCGGCCAAAAACCCGAAGATTAATTCGAAACTCGAATTTGATCGCCAAACGTTGATAAAGAAAAGCAGCAGAGTCGGTGTGCAATTCTAGAAAATAGCGACGAATGGATGCGTGCCAGAAAAAGAGTATGCCTGAAAGTGGACACAGGCAGAAATCCAAATTTTCCAAATCCATCGTGTATTATCTACCTATTAAACTACCGAGTCTACGAATTTTCAAATTGTCTTCATCTGTACTCGTATTTAGTGTAAAAACTGTTTAGGATAAGAATCGAAGGATTCAGGAGATAAACAATCGAGCATTGACAATCTATGATTTTCCTTGAATATTGCACGTTTTATCAGTTTTTTAAAATATGATAAATATGGCAAGCGTTAAAAGGTGATTTACATAAAAAAAAGAAGTGTCTACTTAAAAATTCGTTTTCTAAACTGATGCATCTTCCATTTTACATTAAGATCTGCAGTCTACTAATTAATTTTCGGTATTGATTAAAAATGGCTCACGAAAGGACAGAAGAATACGGTTGAACAGTTACACTTACAAGTAGCGGTCATAAATAATTCGCAACTAGATATCGTAAACGTTGTGGAGTCTTTGCAATGTGTATAAATCATTCTTACCGAGCCTCGTTGTAAAATCTTACTCCCGCTGCTACAACAGCTGCCGGGGCATAAACGTCTGTCCCGTTGATGCGGTCGCTCCTGCATGCTGAAGAGCAAAGTTATATTCGTCGGCATCGCATTAAAATTTTACGTTGCAAACGCCGTAAACAAGCGTGTGCATAAAAAAGTGATAAATTTCGAAGTTTAAACCGCTTTAGTGCGTTCGTGACTCACTACGGTTCTTAAACAATTGTGACATTTTTCATGATCTTCGGAAATAAGAGGGGTTTCCGCTTCGTGCGGTCAAGTCAGAGTTCGAATCAAAGGTCTAAGTCTAGTGGTTTGAAATTGCAATTGTTTGAAATGGATTTTCCTGAAATCTACTATTCTCCATAAAAATGATGAAACGTGAATTTCAATTTTTCAATTTAATTACTTTTAATCTAAACGAGTGCGAAGGGACATAAAACATCAGTCGATCAACGACTGTCACGTAAAGCAACGATACCAAACCAAGTATGTACGTACTCAGTTGCATGCGCGAAGGTATTGCCCGTTTCGCGTCGCGAAACCACGAAGCATCGCGAAAAACAGTTTCGCCCCGGTACGATAAATCATGTTGAAATTCTCCGAGGCTGACAGGCATGTAGTTTTACGACGGCCTGCACGCGAAATGCAAAGCAGAGGGTCGCCCCGCAATTAATTAGAGTTTCGTGAGACCCGTGCATGTGCCGAATCGCCTCCTTTTTTTATATATCGCTCACTTAAAAACTGCGGAATAAGAGATCCCCTGGGGTCTCTGACACTCTTCTGAGGAGACAAAAGCGATTGGCAAGGCTGTGACAGAATTTTTATTTCGTTGATCGAAATGATTCTTCAGCAATTCCAGAAGGAAAGGGTTTAAGTCAATGAAAGCTTCGAAATAAAAGAATACGATATTTTATTAAAACTCTTGCCTAAACGAGAATGACAGAAAGTCCTCATAACGGTGAAAAAATTTGTATACCCTATCACAAATCATATATTTACAATAAACAATCTGATCATAATTCTTCATAACGTCTTCTTTAATATATTACAAAGTCTCACCATTTCCTCGCTCTCAAATTTACCCAATCTTTATAATCCAATAATTTTAACAGTTGTTAATAGATTTAATGAAGAAGAAATTTTATAAGTAGATCTTATGTACAATTTTCACATTGCGTTTAAAAGTTAGTTACATAGGCCGAGAGGGTGGCCTTAAATTGTACACGAAACAAATGAATCCATCCGTTTGATATTTCGATCGCTAAGACGCGCTAATCATTCTATCACTTGTACGAAACACAGGTTTAACTCTCACTGTCTATAAAATTTGTAACTCTCGTTAACGTCAGGTACAATGCCAGCATCGATCTGATCGGTGATAATTGAACGACGAGCTTCACTTCGTCATTCGTGAAACTCCCGAGGGAAGATTCAAGGGTTTTGTTTGAATCATGACTTTTTAATAAATCCACTCTTTGGTGGAGGGCCGATGAGTTTATCTGACATGGGCGCAGTAGGATCGACTCCCATAACAGACGTTGCCACAGGTATTCTATCGTCGCATTTACTGGACGATGAGACTAGGGATGGCGAGGGAGACACTCGTTCTATCGATAAGGTCTGCTGGGGTAGTTGAGCGTCAGTTTGGATGCCGACAGAGCCGTAGATTTCCTTCAATATCATCAGCATTGTGTCTTCAGATTCCCTAAACAGAAAACGATCGTACATCAGGAAACAGTGAGGATTTCCTAATTCATAGGAAATTAGTATAATTTTATTGTCGCAATTAAATTAGAAAATCATCTTTATCAATAATTGAAATTTATAATAAAACCTGGATTATGCATATACGAGTACGTCGAATGAATATTCAATAAAACTGAAGGATTTTACTAACCAGTAACAAACGTGACTCGTCAGCGCGAATATGTATTCATTAATATATTCAAACGGTGCTTCTTGAAGAACGTAATCTATTCTTCGTCCACCGTTTAGTTTCCCCACTTTGAACTCGGCACCACCGTCATCGTTCTGTTGATCCACAACGGGCGGCGTCTGTTGCAGCTGCTCTTCCACGACTTTGTCAATCTCACGCTCTAACGTGGTGTTATCTGGTTTATGGAACACTGCTAACTGATAAACAGAGTTCCATGTGTTCCTCATAGAATCTAGCAGCCTCTGCTTCAAATCCGCACCGACCCTTGCCATCGTTTCTTTTAATTCTGCAAACAGAACATTCCGGTTTCATCCTATCATTTCCTTTCGAATATGTAATATTCTTAGACTTCTTAACTTAACCAAATGCATAAAAGAAAAGTGTGGAGGAATGACAGAATAAGAAAATTATAAACCAAATTCACTTCCGAGCCAAGAGGCTGAAATAAAGATATTATATAGACAACTTACCTAAATGCATTCTTTTGCGTCCCTTGTGATGAGGAATCAGCATAGGTCGATATTTCGGAGCGTCTGAATTAATTAAAGCTTCGACTCTATAAGCCACTGGGTCGAACGGGTGAAATATGTTGAAAAACGCAGGACACGTTGGCAGTTCGAAGTCCTCACCGAGCATATCTATCCCCCGGACTGTTACGAACATGCCGATCGGACTACCGAGGGCGAAGAAGGCACGTGGGTGAAAATGCAACTGCGGATATTGTATGTAAGGTTGACCCGTCCCCGCGGCACCCACGACGTAGCTGATCTTTTTACTGAGACGTCGTTTCAAGACCGGTTCACCTTGCAATTCATCGGCCTTCTCTTGCTTCTGAAAGGAACATACGTTTTAGCATCGAAAAAAATGGATTTCTATTGGGTTCTCGGCTACTGGGAAGAAAAATGTTAAGGAGTAATTCTAGATCCCAAATTAGACTTCTTCCCACGAGTAGCCGGACACCCTGACAATTTTTCATGATTCAACAATTTATTTACATGGTCGTCATTTGAATCTGTGTCATTTTCACTTGACTTTTCGTCTGGCATTGGTTTCTGATGGCACAGTAGGTCGAACAAGATCAAGCTACCCAATGAATGTCCACCCAGATAAATCCCACCATCGAAGTCCGAGTTTCTTTGCTTGAACAAAGCGTAGAGCCTGTTTATCTCGTTTCCAACAGTTTCCATGATCGTTTGACAATACACGGGGCTTGTATAAAACAATATATCCAGCAACGTGTCGTTTGTGAAGTGTCGTAACTTCGGAATGCTATCAAGAGTGATCGCGTTCAACTTCTTGTCGATTCCAGTGTCTTCAGAATGAAGAGTCGTGTGCCATGATACTGGTAAAACTTCTATCCTGTTCACGATTCGCTGTTCACTGGCAGTTCGGTAGTGCGACTGGACTAATTGCAGTGATATACTTCGAAACTCGTCGACTGCAAACAATTAGAATAATGAAGACTATTTCTTCCGTTCAATGATTACTGGGTTTGAGTTTAAATGTGTTGTTTTAATAAACATGTAAGATTTTCGTACTTTCGGAAGATGTAACACGTACCGACTTCTTCTACGCTTCGAAACTTCAAATCGCAGACACTTCCGATTCCGTGTACAAGGAAGAGAAGGTGGTCCACTTTCTCAGGCTCGCCGTCTTCGATATGGAATTCATCGAGACCTCGTTTTATCACCTTAGGTCTACTACCAGCACCCTGCAAATATGCACTGCCCTCTGAACCCTGTACGAATGCCGGTTGTAGATCGCAAACAAAACCGTTTGTGCAGAGAAAAAAAGAAAAATAAAATAATGTGAAATCATGACACTGTACATCAAAGTTTCTGTACAAATTCAAAATTAATAAAACGTAATTTACCGCTACGTTGCCCCAAGTGGCGGCCACTTCCGGCGAGACGGCGCTTATGTAATGAAATTGCACAGTAGCACTGTGGAACACAATGTATTCGCCATTATTCAAGTCGATCCTTCGATTCCAATTGTTCGACAGGCAAGCCTGTTTGTATTCCTCCTCAAGCTTAGTGGCAGTGTTCTCATCGTAAGGGACATATCTGGATTCTGTAGGTCCTTTGAAGAACCAAGAGGATCTCCTCACTTCCGACGATTCTCCGCTCCAATAGACAGGAGATCGTTGGCGTCGCAGAATGTCCACGTCGTAACGACCTCCGTCTGTAGCAACCGTTGTTTCAGGGGCGATTTCGGTGGAATTATAAACATCCTCCAACCGCAGGCTGTCCTGCATGGAGAACGGAAGCCATAGGACCTTGTGCTCTACTTTCTTACGGTAGAACCAGTGGTGGTACACTCCTCTGTACTGTGTACGTCTATCTGAGGAACCAGCAACCTGGAATTCATCAAAAAGTGAACTTTAATGTACCTAGAAATTGATTACACGGAGATTGAGGAACACATGGTCTATGTAGAAGTATTTTATTTCTCATTGTATCTTCAAATAGTCGACATTTGCACGATTTCAGCTGTTTAATGTTCTAACAAAACTTAAAGTGCTCTAAGATAAATAAAATCATATGAAAACCGATTAATCTTACCAGATTCTGAAAACTGGGAGGCATACCGTCCGTCGTGGATCGACCGGCCAGCGGATTGACGGACATCTGGACAGGGTTCAACGTAGCCGAACCCGTCGGCTCAGGCACAGTCGTCATCGTTGGAGCCGCGCTCAGAAACCCAATACTGCTCGTCAAGTCTTGGGTCTGCGATCCTCCAAAATGATGATAAGCGTTCAGATCGTACGGTGTACTCAATGAAGAATACTGAACCGAATCGCTTTGCGCGAGATTATAGAACAGAGGTGGTGGTGGCAAAGATTGACATGCTGCGCTAACAGACTCAGAAGTCTGATTATTGATCCATGAGGATTGAGGCTGAGAACTGATGCTACTCAACGGCACTTGCTGTAAATCGGACCCCACGTCGATCCTCGCGTTACTTTCTTTGTACTCACGATAAGGAAAGGAGCTGACGCTCTCTGGCGCGTTGAAAAACGAGCTAGCCGATTGTACAAAAGGTTTTGACGGTTCAGGCAGGGTGGTTTTCGGTATGTAGTTTAAATTCGACCTCTGCTCTGGTTTGTCCGCGAAGAAGTTAAAAGTCTGATATTGCTGAGGCACTTGTACGCTAGGGAAACCATGACTCTGTGCAACTTGATCAAGCTTCTCATGCCCTGCATGGACTTCTTGAGGAAATGATCGCTCCGGAAGTTGTTCGACACCTGCGTTGCTCAGTGCATTAGATTTTGAATTGTCCTTTTCCTCAGCATTCGCCTTTAGGTCATTCAAACTAACAGCAGTTCTATCCTCCTTCACATTTTCCTCAGTTTTCTTCTGTCCTTCAATAGGCTGAGCTAAAGAAGTCTCCTTTTGCTCAGCTAGCAAATGTTCCAATTTCTCCGAAACTTGGACAGCTGAAACCGGAGAGAACGTTGGTTTGTCCTCCCCACTAGATTTGATGGTTTCTTTTGAAATCGATGGTTCACTGCGGTTCAGCTCTGTTTTCGTAGCTTCCTTCTCTGGATTGACTGGTTTTTTAAGGAAATCCCGTTGAGCGTCGAAGCCGAAGTAAGGAGCAGTCACAGCAGGGGTGTTTTGTGGGGTAATCGGTTCTAATAATTGAGTAGAACAGTTCAAAGACAGGGATTGCCTCTCGGGAACAGGATGCACGGTCTCATGACTTGTGATTTGAGTTTGAGGCGTCGCACTTCCTGAAGTGCCGCTCGAACTGTAAGGAACTGCAGCTACTGGACTAGATCTGAATGACTCCTGCAAGGAGTTCGCTTGGGACAAGTACTCCGGGGTGGAACGTATCGATGGTGAACTCGTAGAGATCGCTGCCTCCACTGGTTGGTAACTCGGAATCGTGGTAGTAGCAGCTGGATTAAATATAGTCAGAGGTGTGGTACTTTGCAGTGCGGAGCTTTGCGGCGCGAGGATTGATTGAGAGGGAGTAGAGAATTGCTTGGGTGTGTTTGATGTTATATCAGGCGGTGGTGCGTATTTGAGACGTCTCTGATTGCCCAGACGGTATGAAACAGACGCTGAAAACGAAGAAAAATTTATTTATGTGTCATCGACTCTAATTATGCCTGTATTCATTATTTATAATTACAATCCTACGTAAAGTAATCCGTTCGTAATTAATTTGTTAATTCAGGGACCGCCAATGCGGTCGATGTCAATCTAGGATCGCTCTAATATTGGGGCCCGATCTTGGCTAAGGACCCAATTGAAGATCGAATAAAGGTCAATACGAAAATTGATTAAAAACACATTTAGTGGGGGTAGATAAAAATTTTCGAAGATTTTTGCAGAATCAACAAATTTAGCGATTATTTCAACCTCTATTAAATATTTAACGAAGAACATTTCTAATCTTATAGGAATCCCACAATTATCTGGAATCCTACCATTATTCGAAGAAGGAAGCGTGGGCGGCACAGGCGGTGGAGCAGCGAAGCTCCCAGTACTTCCGGTGCTATCGTCGATTGATCCAATTAAATTTGTGCGTCGAGGATCGTGGAAATTGGTGGAGATTATAGGCGGCGACGTATCCCTCAATAAGTCACGATCTTGCGAAGGCACATAAGGATTTGCACTTTGTACATCGACTGGCTGTTTGGACGTTTGATTTATTTGAGTATTCGAGGAATCACCTGTGATCGAGGATAAGGATAAGTTCGGCAGGGAGGATAGAATCGAGGTGAGGTAGCCTTTCGTCAGTTGACTCGGCGGATCCTTGGTTTCTTCAGGGTGCAGGGGTATCGGCGTAAACTCGCTATCCACATCCGGTACAGTCGCTGAACCACTTGAATTGTGCGGATTAGTTGGTTCCGGTCCTACGAAGTTGACAGCTTCAGCTCCTGAAAACAGACAAATATATCGATGGAAATTTGCTATAATTTATTAAGAAAATATATTTCTATGAATCACTTCATTTTTATTTGATATATGTACATTAATATGAATGTGTAGCATCATTTTGTAAAATATGCAATAAATAAAACTATAGCTTTACCTACATACGCATTATTTACAATCATTATTTAATTATACAGACAGACACGGAATAAAATAAAATTGATTAGAAAATTACTAAATTAAAATTAGTTAAAATTTTAATTAAAAGAGAATGACACGTATTTCCTCTTCTATCATAAAACAATCATTCTATTATTTTCTTGATAGAGTGGAATTTGTATCAAACAGTACATAATCCATTTTCGCAGAATACGATTTCTCTTAAGTACATATAAGATATGTAGTATAAATCTGGAATCGTATTATAAATCTAGAAAGATCTGTAGAATCTAGAGCGCTACAGGGAACTACCCACTAGTAAAGGCATTTAACAAGATGTCCAGCTATATTTAACTCCCAATAAAATCTCAAGTCTACTTGTATAAATATAAACACACGTACATATATCCCTCGTTACAAAGAACAAACGATAATACCAGGTTTCTAAAAATCCACTGACGTGGCAAAGCAAGGTCAATCCCTCTTCGACCTTTTATGGCATTCTTAAAAAATAGATGAATACCCTGAATTTTGTTATGACGTATGAGCCATGAAATCTGGAATTAGATTATTCAGAAACAGTCAATATTGAACAGGATACAATGAAGGTAAGAGATAATGACCCGTGTCTCTTTCTTATATGAACTATCGCTGCTGGCATCCTGTTGGGTCTCGGATTTCTATACTTCAGCCGAGCCTCATATCCTCTCGACACCTCAAACACCTGCGATTGTGCAACAATCACCGTTTACACCTACATTTACTTTTCCGTTTGACGTTATCACCCGCGTAATTAGCGGACACCTTACGCTTTTGTAAACGACCCAGCCCAGGAACTTTATAAGTAACTGTTTCATTTTTACGAGCCTCCCAACGAGAGAGTCTTCGAACGAGTTTCAACTACGTAAGATCAACGTATGGTCAGCAATGAAACGGTTAACAGTTTTCTCCTGGTACTTATTCTCGTGCCTCAAGTGCACAATAATAGTTTTAATCGCGTTAAATATTGCCGCGAGTGGATATGAAGAATTTGAAGAAAACTGGAAACTGTTCAAAGTACCGGATTCGAAATTTCGACGATTGAATGACACCTTGGGATTTAGAGCGAATGAGAAGAAATTTGATAACTTCACTGATGAGGCAACAGTGCTTTTGTTTACGGACAAGTGCTCTAGGTGAGCTGCCAAAAAATATTAAAGTTTGGTCAAAGATGGTGAGAGGTTTGACGCATGAGAATAGAGCCAAGTACATTTTAATTACAGTATAATAGATATAAAGTGACGCTCATTAACAGTCGGACTTCAATATTACTCTTATTTCATAATAACAATAATATTTTTATTTTACCTATTTTAATATTGCATCAAACAATTTCATTTTCTTTACCACTGTAGTTATAAAGTGTATTTAAAATATTTTTTCAAGAGACAATACGTAATTATTGTTAATTAATATAATAGTAATTCATAAAATAAAATATAAATTTCTTATACGAAGGTACTGCATCGAAAATGTCAGTAAAGATATTCCATATATTAATCTCTTCTGGACAGCTAATAGGGAAAATATGAAAGGTAAGATATTTACACCTATACAGTATAAATGAAGTTTCAATCTCTAAAATCGCTTATTTAGAAGAAAATATCATTAGAATAAAATTTGGTAAAATTTAAATATCGTTTGAGCTAGATCAATCTCTGGGAAACAATGATCCCCATCTACTATTAAATAATAAATGGACAAATGAAGGAAATACAAATGTCAGACCTAGGAATTGCCAGGTACAGGAAAACATTTGTACATAATTGAATAAATAAGTAAACAAAAAAATTAGGACATAAATAAATAAACATTATTTATAATACGTAGTCTCAATCATATTCTTAATCTTCATTTACTTTCAGATTTATCTTGACTTAGATTGCACCATCGATGAAGTAAAAACTACTTCAAATTCTGAACCAGCAGGATTTCGTGTTAATACAGAAAATAGTGAAACGAATGGGAATGAGTTTATGAATGACCCTGACATTTTCGCAAAAGTAACAGTCTTTTAAACCACATACATATTTATAGATGAAATAAGCAGCATATATAAAATAAACATTATTGATTCTTTTTTTAGATAAATATAGCAGAGGAATATAATCTGAGTGAAGAAAGTGAGACGAGATTCTTAGTAAATGATTCGGTGCAACGAATTATAATTAATATTGATGGAAATTTTACGGGCGCGCTACTTCAGTTGCCCACAGGTACGTTTTTTATTACACTCCTTGATACTTTGTTTAAATGTACAAATATAAATACACAAATTGTAAGTAATATTGCGTTCCCAAGGAAGTCCATGCCGACTTTTATCGAATATTTAAAAGTAGTACACTTATGTACATTATGAGGATTAGCTTGTAGATCTCCATCTTCTCCGTTCAATATTATTATAAATCATGCTCTTTTTACCCCTCATGCTTGCTTTAAAATATGATTTTTTGTTTGGGAATTGCCACGTGGCAGAACTTGGCATTATAGTTTATCTACTGATCGCTTAGTCTTTATGGAAAAATGAATAAAAACGAATTTCGTAGTGAATCTTTAAAAAATGAACATGTAGAATCGAATGATTCATATTGTTGACTAATTTAATGGATAGCATTGTTTCATCGTGCCGTTATCAAAATCTACACCCTTGAACTAACATATCTACAAATGAGGTAATCGATTCAGTTAGTAATAGAAATTACATTGCAACGTCGGTTTATTTTATATCAGAAATTCTTCTATCTTTTTCACGGTCACAAATAATCTCATAGTAGCCTACCGTTCATGGTATCGACCGCATCGTCTCGGAGAATTCCGTCTGACTCCGTTGCATTGCACCAAACTAAACGAACTTATATTCGTCTGAACAAAACCCAAAAACTCAATACCCACTGAGTCACTTCCGTGAATTCCTATCGCGCTCGTATTTTTATATTTTCCTCACCCCCTCACTAACATCAACTAAAACGTCTACTGCTCTATAAACCACGTCGCGTTTCTCACGAATTTCACGAGTCTATGAAATGTCGCCCCTAATTAGAGAAAGCTTTATATGAAATTACACAAATACACAAGGAGGTGTGGCGAAGTGTCTGTTAATTTGAGTGTGTTACGATCTGTGTCTGTTAATTAATAGACGCAACAGCGTCGAGGCACGGTACGGCGATGTCTTGGGTACACAAGGGTACAACAGGGATGAGAATCGACACGCGGAACGGACCACCTGGCGAGTGGAGGGTGAAGCTTCTAGGGGTGGATAATTCGAAATATCACGTCGCTGCAGTGGGTTTCCTTAGTGGAGGAAATATCGACGGAAAGAACGGATTACTCGTTCCAGATTTACGACTGGACGGTGAGTGATGTTTACATGGATTACGTATCTCTAATTACATGAGGATGACGCATGACGCGTCATCTTCTGCACAGATCATAGGAACTGTACGTTTTTATTCCATGTAATTTTTATATAAACGAAATCACATTCCCATTAACCCCTTGAATGCAAATGACGAGTCCAGCTCGTCATAAACTTTCCTCTTTTTCAAGTGCTGACTGAAAATAAATTGTCGTTCAAGGGGTTAATACTGTGGCTTCTTATGTAAAGTAATACATTTATCAGTTTAGAAAATGTGTCTTATATAAATATTCGTTTGATCATTTACACATTGATGTATTTTCAAATTTAGTTTTGATGTTCTTTGATATTCAATCATTTTATACATCGAATTTATCCTGTTTTCACATTGACTTTTCTAATAGTTGCATAAAATCCACAGTCTACACACCACAGTTCCTTACTTCATCGTTTCGCTTCTAAACAGAATTGGCAACTAACTGAAACACGCTATTAGGAGCTTACCTAGGCTTATCCGAAATTACACAATAGTAAATTTGGACAACGGAAGTCTGAGTCTCTGAGGTGCCGGACATATTTAGGACCAGATTCCTAATCCATCAGCGTGTAACACGTCGATTTCATGCAAGCTTCCACCGCACAGACCCCGAAGAATCTGAGACTCACTTGTTTGCCCCGTGTCGTTCATCTGACGACTGGCAACTCGTTCGCCTCCTGGCTCTCGGAGATACTAGCTGTTGTGCAATATGCTACTACGTGGTGAGCTATTTAGCTGGCCTTTGATCGTCAGCTGCACGTTCGACTGACGCACACGAGATTCAGGAAGCTAGGAGGTCGAGATTCGCCAGTTGTTTTTCAGCGATTTTTTTTCATGTTTTCTGTCTAAGTTCCGGAGAGGCGCGAGGCGATGTTAAATACACGAGTTGCAGATTCTGGGAAATACGAGGCTGCTTCCCAGCCACATGTATCGTTCTATTATTAACAAACCGATTGTATCACCGATGAACCGCAGGGGAGGCCAAGTTTATTACATATACATGATTGAATCTTCTTTAAAATCTGTTGCGATTTACAATCTTCATTTAATTTAAGCTAAAATCTGGATTCAATTTAAAATATTCGAGCATGCGTTTTGTGGGATTAATAAATGACAATGGTGGAAGGAAGTATTACATTAAAAATCATTTCATGATAGACTTTTTGGCCATTTCTGCTTGGGACAGTGATTATCGATCCATTTTTTATTCTGTTATAACGATCAAATCTGTTATCTCTGCTCAGCAGTTTCAGTCAATAAGTATTACGTTCATGCACAATGTTTAAGTTTATTGAATAACGGGAGGAGGCAATGACAGCAATCTAAGGAAAATATTTGTTACTATCGATTGAGCGATTTACGTGTTTACTTAGAAGAGATAAATACTATAATGATTAATAGATTACTGGATATTTTATAATAATATTACTACTTTTCATTTTATAGTATAATATTATTGCTACTGTATTATTATACTATTTCATATTGTAATTTTATTAATATATGAAATTCATGGGGCATTTGCATTAATTTTACGTTATATAAATTTGACAAATTCGCCAGTTGTGCAATTTTCTTTACAGGCGAATCTAATGGGAATTCAATATCAAATTACCAATCGCGATTGACAAATGAACCGATGGAAAAGGAACAGAGCGAAGAATTAATGGAGGATCAAGTAAGGATGGATTGAAAAGTAATATAAGATTCCAAGACCTCGAAATAATTATAAGCATGACGTCATATGTAAAACACTGACACAATGCGTCTCCTTCATTTAAGTACATCGGCAACCTTTGATCCCGTAATTCATTATGAATCATATTCCATTACGACTGCTGATAATTCAAACTAAAACTCTTAAACTGAAAACTGTATTTCCTTGCATTAACCAATTCACAATATCTCCTATTGATTAGAAACAAGGGGAACTTCGGTAAGAACTGTATTTCCTATTGCATTAATTTAGAAACATGAGGAGCTTCGTTCAAGATCTTCAATCGAAGCGGTAGAAAGTCTGGAGGATATGGATGTTAAAACGCCGATGCAGAATGTGTCAATGAGGCTGACAGAAGACTTGGATAATAGAGAACTGTCCGAGGAATTAGTGACCTATGCCAGTAAAGGTGTTATCGAACAGAAAAAAATGTTAATTGAAGTGAACAGGGATAGTAATTTGCTCGCCACACCAGGAACGATACATAGGATAACGTTCGATGTAATGAATAGCTGCGTTCTGCCAGTCATATACACGTTCCGAGTGAAGAGCTCTCCTTTCAGGGTGTACAATGTTAAACCAATAAGGCAAGTTATAAATTATTCATCATGCTAAATAATTGGGATCTTAAATGCAAAGAAGATACAGAATAAAGTTGATTTGATAAACGAACGACTCTTTAACGGGCAATTAGATTTTATTATAAATGAAAAGAAATTAACACGTCTGCCCCTCTTCGAGTCTCGTCGACAACTGCTAGGCTTGACAATGACAACAGCAACGACAACTGCCAGTCTCGCCGACAATAATTGCTTCATTAAAAATTGTCTATTTTTCTTGGATCCCACATAAATAAAATAATAAGCTTCATGGCCTGGGAGTATCTAGCTAGAAAACAATCTTTACTCGTTCTCAGGGATCTCAGAATTTATCCCGCACGGCTCGCTTTCCCTCTTTTTCGCCCGTATTTCGATCCCCACTACTATTTTCCTCATGAGCCTTTGCTGACCATGCCTAGCATACCCCCATCAAGTACCAGTCCCAACCATAGTCGCGTCGTCCCCACTTTCCGGCCGAGGGATAAATTCTAAGATCCCTGCTCGTTCTACCATTCATTTGAATTCTTATTGGTTAATTAATATTTCAGTGCTTGGATTTATCCTGAGCAAGTGGCGAACGTAGCGATCGATTTGGTGGTGCCAAACAATGCTGCGCCGGATACAGCTAATACAGTTTCATTGAACATCTTGGGAACAGAAATTAAGGAGAAGTCTGCGTACATTTATGTGCAAGGGTCGCTTTCAAGAGTACGTAAACGTGACATATAAATACCTCATACAAATTAGAAATCATTCGATCTATATTAAAATAAATTACAAGTCTTACGTTGTAATGTTTAGTTAACCGATGATGCTAAACCAGTCATCGATTTTTCTTACAACAGTAACTGTGCTGGAAAATTGGATAAAGATCGGTGCTATAAATCACGCTGGAGCATAGATCTTACGATACAGGATTACGACTCAGGTACCAATTAAATTTTTAAAGATGTTCGAACGTAACTACTGTTCATCGCAATTGTAATTTCTATAGAGAACTTGTCCCGACCCGAGCTATTTTCGAATTCGTCTAATAATTTCGTCTTTTAATCTCTTCACAAAGGTTTAAAGCGCGTATTATCAACACCGAACGATATCTACCCACGTACTGAATTCATTAGCGGCACAAGAAGCCCTGTAACATTTTACTACTCCGCTACCTGCTGCGATAAAACAGTGAAAATTACGGCAATAGACCTATTAAACAACTACAACACTATAACGATAGACGTCACAGGTAATTTGGCTCAATTGTCATTTAGGACTATTATAAAAATTTTATTTTATTAAAATGATTCTTTACCTAATAACTTCTTCGTTTGATTCCTGATATTTCAGCTTGGAATAATTTGTCAGAAGCAGAAATCGCAGCAATCACAGTGGGAGCACTGTTAGCTCTATTATTTATTATCTTAATCGTTATATTAATTATTTACTGCGTTCGACGAAGGAAGAGTCACGACCTGCCATACACACAGAGATATGGATCCACCAGACCGCCTGTCCAGTCAGAGAGATTTTAATTCCTTATTCATCTAATTATCCAAACATGATATAATACGAAATATGTATATACTATTGATTACTATATAAATTAATATTATAATTAAGACAGATTTATATATTAAATAAAGTATAGATCATTGATCATTTAAATTCAAATCATACACGTGTAAGAGTGTCGCTGGTGTCCGAGAAATGCTACAGCGCATGCACTGCCATGAATTATAGCGACATGGTATGTATCAAAATCAAAGCTGTCCAAAATCTCGCCTGTATAAATGTTTTTTTCGTAACAATCAATAAGGACGAGTTTATTCAGCCCTCTAATTATTTTTCCACCCTTCATTCAAATAATATTCATAAACAAATGATTGCCCCAGCGGAAACGATACGTTGAAGTAAAGGACACAGAATAAATATGGTTAAACATATCTAAGCAATGTCGATCAGTTTTATATCAAATTTCAGTTCCATACAAAAATTCCCATGGGATAAATTCCATTCGAATCCTTCTTTTCATGAAGATCGTACAAATATATGCCGAAAGCCCCACCCAGGTGATCTGTTAACCTGACTCACCGTCATGCAGCACCGCAGGTGTGGCAGGCGTAACAGGCACAAGAAATGTGTTCTCCGTATAATTCTCGAACGGAAATCCTTCGCCAGCTGCTGAAAGCAACGGATTTCTCACTTTACGCGACGGGCCGCTCATCACTACGATCTCTACTATGCGTTGGCACCACGCGTCATTGAAAGATCATTAAACTACGAGTTGTAAAACAGATGTATCTACATTAGAAGGAGAGCGAAATGGTGTGCTCGTTATGTTACAGAATTCTCCGTTTCTGCGCAATGGCCGCAGGTCTAACTGCACGCCATCTTGGTTCCATTCGAATTCAAACAGCCAGAAGCGAAAAATAGATAGTATCCATTATTGTGAAAACCAGATCGAGAAAGTAGTGATGGGCACTATCGACTAATTTAAAGTATCGACTACCTAGGGAATAATCGCAACATACTATAGACTAATTAGTCGATAGTTTTTAGTCGGATGAAAAATCGCTCTCGCGGTTATGATCATAGCGTTCATATTTAAATAGCATTTTTACTTGACCAAACATGATCTAAAGCATCGATCACGCATTACGCATTTTCGAGTCTAATTTATTGTAGAAATGCATCTTCAAATTTTTATTTCGCGATCCTTGAATAAATATAATCCAAAGCAGCGATCATGCATTACTTTGCTCGGTAAAACTACCGAAGCGAACAACGAAAACATAACATTGACTATATGAACATCTATTGAAATTAATTTCCTCTGTTTCTAATTTATTCATCTCTAAT